TGCCCTTTATAGTCTGTGTCCAATATTGTGTATTTGTATATATTGTATATCCTATATATATATATATGCTAAGGTCCCGCTACTGACACGATAGCAGTCATTTCGTGCCCATATGTGTAATTAAACCCATGATATCAAAATCTCACTCCAGCCAGGTACCCAAAGTTGGCAACCCCTGTGTATATGTATGCACTGAAATGCATCTGGGTGGTAACTCGTTGAATTTGCAGGAAAATCTAATGTCGATTTTAACAAAAAAAAGTGGCATGACAACACAAGAGACTCAGAATCATCATCATTACAAAGGAGCATCAAAAGGTACATTCAAAACCAGCACTTTTCTGTTCCTCTGTGTTGTCACATCTCTCCTGACGCTGCACATTGATCAAAAAGTCAGTCTGCGAGTCGTCAAAACGTGTCAGCATATCAAATGACATTCAGACCACACAGATTACAAGTTGACAGCTCAATCTGTTTGGGAGGCGACTGATCTGGTAAATGGCTCAATGAATAAAGAGTCACGCATCCTGTCACTCTGTTTTTCACACATCTGGGTTTACTGAGATTAAAAATTGATGATGAAGCCGATGGTGGGATAAGAAGGATGAGTTCAGTTGGGTTTCTCATACCTTGAACTACATGGCAGACATATACAAACGTGCTACAAGACCCAAAACACTTACATTAGGAGAAACTCTTCAGCAACTTGACAACACATTTAGCAACTTGAGGAAACATGCGCAGCGTTTACTAAAAGCTGAAAATACAAAGCGCTGTAAGCTCAAAACACAACGGAGACCAGGGGACACTAAAGAGTGACGCACACAGCTGGGAGACCAGGGGACACTAAAGAGTGACGCACACAGCTGGGAGACCAGGGGACACTAAAGAGTGACGCACACAGCTGGGAGACCAGGGGACACTAAAGAGTGACGCACACAGCTGGGAGACCAGGGGACACTAAAGAGTGACGCACACAGCTGGGAGACCAGGGGACACTAAAGAGTGACGCACACAGCTGGGAGACCAGGGGACACTAAAAAGTGACGCACACAGCTGGAAGACCAGGGGACACTAAAGAGTGACGCACACAGCTGGGAGACCAGGGGACACTAAAGAGTGACGCACACAGCTGGAGACCAGGGGACACTAAAAAGTGACGCACACAGCTGGAAGACCAGGGGACACTAAAGAGTGACGCACACAGCTGGGAGACCAGGTGACACTAAAGAGTTACGCGCACAGCTGGAGACCAGGGGACACTAAAGAGTGACGCACACAGCTGGGAGACCAGGGGACACTAAAGAGTGACGCACACAGCTGGGAGACCAGGGGACACTAAAGAGTGACGCACACAGCTGGGAGACCAGGGGACACTAAAGAGTGACGCACACAGCTGGGAGACCAGGGGACAGTAAAGAGTGACGCACACAGCTGGGAGACCAGGGGACAGTAAAGAGTGACGCACACAGCTGGGAGACCAGGGGACAGTAAAAAGTGACGCACACAGCTGGAAGACCAGGGGACACTAAAGAGTGACGCACACAGCTGGGAGACCAGGGGACACTAAAGAGTGACGCACACAGCTGGAGACCAGGGGACACTAAAAAGTGACGCACACAGCTGGAAGACCAGGGGACACTAAAGAGTGACGCACACAGCTGGGAGACCAGGTGACACTAAAGAGTTACGCGCACAGCTGGAGACCAGGGGACACTAAAGAGTGACGCACACAGCTGGGAGACCAGGGGACACTAAAGAGTGACGCACACAGCTGGGAGACCAGGGGACACTAAAGAGTGACGCACACAGCTGGGAGACCAGGGGACACTAAAGAGTGACGCACACAGCTGGGAGACCAGGGGACACTAAAGAGTGACGCACACAGCTGGTAGACATTACATTACATTGCATTTAGCTGACGCTGCCAAAGCGACTTACAATAAGTGCGTTCGACCAACAAGACACAACCTTGAAGAAAACAGAATCATAAAGTACATCAGGTTTCATAGAGCCAAAACATTTCAAGTGCTACTCAACTGGCTTTAGATAAGCCAGTCCTTTATTAGTATATAAGTGCTTTGTTGGTAATTCTATCGCTCGAAGTGGAGTCGAAAGAGATGAGTTTTCAGTCTGGAAGGTGTGCAAGCTATCTGCTGTCCTGATGTCAATGGGGAGCTCATTCCACCATTTTGGAGCCAGGATAGGAAACCCACGTGTTTTTGCCGATGGGAACTTGGGTCCCCTTCGCAGCGAGGGTGCAGCGAGCCGTTTGGCTGATGCAGAGCGGAGTGCACGCGCTGGGGTGTACGGTTTAACCATGTCCTGGATGTAGGAAGGGCCAGATCCATTCGCAGCATGGTAAGCAAGTACCAGTGTCTTGAAGTGGATTCTAGCAGTTACTGGAAGCCAGTGAAGGGAGCGGAGGAGCGGAGTGGTGTGGGAACATTTAGGAAGGTTGAAGACCAGACGAGCCGCTGCATTCTGGATGAGCTGCAGAGGTCGGATGGCACATGCAGGTAGACCAGCCAGGAGGGAGTTGCATTAGTCTAGGCGTGAGATGACGAGAGCCTGGACCAGAACCTGCGTCGCTTTTCTTTTTGTAGACCAGGGGACAGTGGCGTTTTCTCCTGGAGGCCAAGGGAAGCCAGGATTCCCCTGTTGTGTAGTTATAATTTTAATAAATAAATAAAAACACTTCGTTTCGTTTGGAAATTCTTTGCTGTGTGTTGCTGCCGGCCCGTCTCTCCCCTATTCTCATTGAGTATTTTACAAAGAGTGAAACAGCGCCCCTCTAGATGTTATGGTGAAATAGTAGATTGCACTCTCTGTTGCGAGAGGAGGCCAGCAGAAATTGGCTTCCCTTGGTGAAAAAAAATGGAGAGATTGACCAATCAGATGAGGCTCACGTCATGCCCCTGCCAACCTGTGATTAGTCAGGACCATGCCAAGGGAAGCCAGAGGCGGCTGGCTTCCCTTGCCTCACAATCCAATCAAATCGAATCAACTTAGTGGTGCAGTGACGAGTCCTAAAACCCGGACGTAAGCTGCGCTCGGTTTCCCTCGACAAAAAAGTAATGGGATTTCTCCATAGGATTTTGGAAAATAGCTCGAAATAAGGTCAGTGGAAAACGAACCTGTTAGATAAATGCACGTTTTGTTCAGCCGGATAATATCCACATGTCTACCCTACTTTTATAATGTTCGAATCATAAATCTAATCAATAGAAGATAGATAGCGTCACTGCACCACTCTCACCGCCGTTAGAAAGTAGCAAGCAACTGAAGCAAGTGCAATTATGGAGGGTGGAGATTTGGAGTATTTCATCAAAAATAATTGTACTAAACTTCCGCTACAGCAGCAACAACAAATACAATCTGATGCCAGGCCGATGCCCAAACTGGAGCTGTGTACAGCGAGGAACAAAGGAGCGAATCGGACGTAAAACGTTAAAGGTCTCCTGATTTAGTTTGTGAATGAATGCTTATTAGAGTTTGGGCTGGAGAGTGCGTGCGGACCTGTCGGTTAGATAACAGGCGTGTGTAAATCCTGCATCTGATACAAATGTGTGTAAAATGATACCGGGTGCTGTAATCACTCATCTGGTTACGTTATTACATTGACCACCACACCCCCGACCCAAAAGAAAGGACGTATTATTGGCTTCCCCTCATTTTTTTCCCACGCCACGCTACTGCCAGGGGACACTAAAGAGTGACGCACACAGCTGGGAGACCAGGGGACACTAAAGAGTGACGCACACAGCTGGGAGACCAGGGGACACTAAAGAGTGACGCACACAGCTGGGAGACCAGGGGACACTAAAGAGTGACGCACACAGCTGGGAGACCAGGGGACACTAAAGAGTGACGCACACAGCTGGGAGACCAGGGGACAGTAAAGAGTGACGCACACAGCTGGGAGACCAGGGGACACTAAAGAGTGACGCACACAGCTGGGAGACCAGGGGACACTAAAGAGTGACGCACACAGCTGGGAGACCAGGGGACACTAAAGAGTGACGCACACAGCTGGGAGACAAGGGGACACTAAAGAGTGACGCACACAGCTGGGAGACCAGGGGACACTAAAGAGTGACGCACACAGCTGGGAGACCAGGGGACACTAAAGAGTGACGCACACAGCTGGGAGACCAGGGGACACTAAAGAGTGACGCACACAGCTGGGAGACCAGGGGACACTAAAGAGTGACGCACACAGCTGGGAGACCAGGGGACACTAAATAGTGATGCACACAGCTGGGACGGAGCGCTCGTTGACGTCAGGATTATAAAACTGTCTCTGTTGTTGGAAACTTCCCTAAAATGTTTTATGGGCTGATTTTAACAATGTGGTCACATGACTCTGCTGTAAGCTAGCTAGCTAACCTAGCTAACCTAGTCATTTCAGATATACTGACAAACACTTCCAGTTATGAGACGACTATCTCTGAGACAGAGACAGTTGTTCAACTTTATAATCCTGAACGTCACCAAGTGCTCCGTCCCAGCTGTGTGCGTCACTCTTTAGTGTCCCCTGGTCTCCCAGCTGTGTGTGTCACTCTTTAGTGTCCCCTGGTCTCCCAGCTGTGTGCGTCACTCTTTAGTGTCCCCTGGTCTCCCAGCTGTGTGTGTCACTCTTTAGTGTCCCCTGGTCTCCCAGCTGTGTGTGTCACTCTTTAGTGTCCCCTGGTCTCCCAGCTGTGTGCGTCACTCTTTAGTGTCCCCTGGTCTCCCAGCTGTGTGCGTCACTCTTTAGTGTCCCCTGGTCTGCCAGCTGTGTGCGTCACTCTTTAGTGTCCCCTGGTCTCCCAGCTGTGTGCGTCACTTTTGTTTTAAAATTGCAAATATCAAAATATATAGACCTATAAATGAAAAATTGTGCACGGACTGAGGAAGTACAACTTTGCTCAGTCAGGAACTCTCATTTGCAAACAGAAGCACCTGTAGCCTATAGGCATCACATGTATGTTGTTTACATGTTGCATTACACCACCCACCTTGTCTTGCAGCTGGTATTTTTGCAGCTCATCCAGAACAAAATGGACTTGTTTGTCCGTGAGCAGAGAGGCGATGTTTCCTCCCAGGTTTTTGCAGTAGTGCTGGGCGTTATCGTAGCTCTCGCTGCTGGAGTTGATCCTCAGACAGACTTCCCCGACATGATGCCAGCCCTCCCCACACAGCTGGCCTGAAACACAACACACACACATACAGTTTGTCTCTGGTAGCAATAACTTAGTCATCAGAGCCTTAAAACACTAGATTATATAGATCCAGCCTGCAAGTAACTCAACTTTGATAGCTAGATAATACATAATTGGCTTGTAATGTTGAGTATGCTAACATGCTAAAGTTTGGTTGATATTGTGTAGGATTGTATCATACTAATGTTTAGCTTTGGCTTGGTTAGCAATATAACATCATATTGTTTAGCTTAAAGTGGACCTATCATGCTATATTTGAATAATACATTGTAGGGCCATACCTATATAATTTTTTTTCAAAATACCAAACAGATCATGCATTTTAGCCATGCCTCATTTCACTCTATTTGCTCTTTTCCAGCCCTGTTTTTGCAAGGGCTGATTCTGTGAGAAGTCTTCTTCGCTGCTTTTGTGGCAGACTACAGCGCCACCCACAGGCCTGGCATATGTACTACAGCGTCTCCAGCGCTTTCGAGCGGCAATGGCCGGCCGTGGCCCAACCCCTCATTCCCCTGATAGGCGGAGCTCCTTGTTTCTGACGTCAGAACAATTTCAAATCTGGATCAGTCTGTATCAGATCCGTTGCAGCCCCATTTTTAGAGATTTGGGTACGGAGGAAAAGAGAGAGGGTTGTGTTTTCTGACACTTGGTGAGTTCCCTGACACACCGGGGACACATGTTCATGTATAAAAGATGTACAAAAGTGCATTTTGCATGATAGGTCCCCTTTAAGCTAGTAGGTAGAGTATGAGTATGCTAACATGCACATTTGTGGCTTATAATGTTTAGAATACATCAATATCTACAATTAGCTGCGTAAAAGTGCTCACATTAAGCATGTGTAACATTTATCACATTTTAGATCAAGTGAGGAGTAAATAATCAGAAATGCAAGAAAAACAAGGAAGCTTAAAGACAAGACATTTACACTTAGAGAGTACAGACCAACTCTGTAAAAAGGAGTTAAGAGCAGATAGATCAGACAGCAGGAGGAGGGGTATCATAATTACCAAAATGCTAATAGTTAGCATTTGTAACAGTTATTACGTTTTAGATCAAGTGAGGAGTAAATAATCAGAAATGCAAGAAAAATACAGAGGCTTAAAGATAGAAAGTTAACCCTTAGAACAGGGATCACCAACTACATTTGTCCAAGGGCCAAAAGTATTCCTAGAGACACTTTCGGGGTCCAGCGATTTATAGCCCTGAATTATGAAGTTGTTGACTGGGGGGGGCTAGTGGAGCGTGTTGCCGGATCACTTCTTCTTCAGGGCAGGGAAGGCTACGCAGTACGCAGGCTACTGTCCCGCAGCTGCTGCCTCTCTGTTGGACTCCGGTACTGCACATTACTCAAGAGACGTTGTAAAAAAAAGAGGGGGGCGAACGCACTAACCACAGCGTGTGCCGGATGAGAATGTCTGGCGTGCCAGATTTGGCCCGCGGGCCGCCAGTTGATGCTCACTGCCTTAGAGAGTACACACTAACTCTGGAAATAGGAGTTAAGAGCAGACAGCAGCACTAACATTCCAAAATGTAGCATGCGTAAAGTGAGAAATAAATAACCAGAAATGCCAGGAAAATACAGAAGCCAATAAAGTTTACAGATTACAGGCCGACTCTGGCAAAAAGAGCAGACAGCAGAAGGGTTGTTTACTTGGTTGAGGTAAACCAGGGTTCATTAATCAACGTGAAGGCAGAGAGAAGCAGCAACTAAATCCAAAACTGCATCGTGGGAAGGCAGTTCGTTTTCAACAAGGCTCTTTAAAACATCCTATATTTAGACTGAGAGTAATGAGGACATATAGGTGGACAGTAAGGTCATGTGACGAAGGTAGAAAGCTCACTGAGGGCAAGTAGTGGAGAAGATGGAAGTGGATGTAACCGCAAAAAATAAACTGCGTAGCCAGAATCAACAGACGATTGAAGAGCTTTAAAACAAAATACTTGGTTGATTTTGGTTAATAAAAAACACATGTAACTGATTTTTAAAGGCTGATATAATGTTGATTGATGCTGTTGTTTTAGATAAGCACACCAGATTCTTGCTTTGTACTGAACTGAGTCATCAGTCAGACACATCACTCCCAGGACTTATAAACAACGTCAGAGATGGGATAAAGAAAAGAGAATGTCTGTGATGATTGAAGAGTTTAAACAGAGGCTGAGAAACTCATCCATAAAAAGGCATACAGTCATTCTTATAAGGGTCAGGTAGTTGCATTTTGGAGTTTATTATACCGTAGCAGCCTTTGAAATAGCCAGGATGAGAAGGAAAGGAAAAGCCTGTTTATTTTTGGACTGATTACATTCACAGGCCCTTTAATGGCTTGCTTCATCAATCCTTTCATGCTACAGGAAAGAAAATACCTGCTTTCTTTAAACCCCCTCTTAACAATAGCAATGGGCCGTAATCGTCCAAAAAATAGACAGGAGAATGGGTAAAAAAGGCGGAGTATACGAAATAAATAGATGGATAAGGTTACAGTCTTTGTGTAAAAGCAGAGATAAACATGTCAGGCAATTTAGCATAATTAGTCATAACACAGTGTGTAAAGAAAAGGCCACGGTGGTGGAGCGGTAGTTTCCATTAACAAAGCTCATCTCAGCCCACACTGTTATGTAGCTTCACAGAAAATAAAGAAGATATATTTTGTAGCCTTGTCACACTAATGGACTCAGAAAAAGGCGCACAATGACAGGCTAATTTCCTCATTGTGGCCAGTGAACCTTTTTAAAAGGCCACGTCCTAAATGGCCCGTACCATTCAAACAGGATGCCAGTCATTAAACTTTAAAGACTGATTAAATAAGTATGCATGCTAGAACCAAAGTAAAGTTGGGCAAGTTTCAACTTCAAGTAAATCTTGTCTGATCTGCAACACACATTTTATTTTTACTCTACAACGCCAAAACGTTTTAAAATGTCACCTATCCTGGTGTTTATAGGCAATAGCATGGGTCTCAGATATATAAAATATATTAAAAACAAGTCTATAAAGTGTTTTGCTCAAAATACCAAACAGATCACCCATTCTAGCCATGCCTCATATCCCTCTGTTTCACTTCCTGTTTCAAAAGTGCTGATTCTGGGTATAAACAGGTCTCTCTTGAGAATAATAATATTAATAATAATAGATTTAATTTTTTAGCGCTTTTGCAGGTGATCAAAGACGCTTTACATATATAGTGAAGAGAAAATAAAATAAAGGAACAACAAATAAATATATAGTTAAAGTTAAAGTCAAATAATACAAAAACAATCACACATTAAAAGCCAGATTGAAGAGGTGAGAATGAGACCCTGTTGTGCCTCTCTTCCTCTGTTTCTTACTTCTCTCTTCCTACCCCTGTCTCTCAGACCTATCCTAAGGGAGCACACACGTTCTGCCTCTCCATCTCCGAGGGTCAACGATTCCTTTGAGCGATCTGCACCGGCCCGTGCCTTAAGTCTTGGACTTCTAATAGAACTGCTCGGGTCTTGATAGATTGAGTGGGGAAGTTCAGGAGAACAATAATTCTCAATGAGATGTTCACCTGTATAAATAAAGGCTAAATAAAAAAAATATATATTGAGGTTTTTTTGTTTTTTTAACTGAAAAAAATAAGAGGGGGCGGAGCTTATGCCGGCTCATGCGGGACCTGGCAGATACTGTCTAAAATGCTGCGGTGATGAAACGCAAGGATTATTAGATCAAGGATTCTCTCTGAAATAGTATGGAGCTCAAAGGCTTTCTCTCTTGCCGGTTATACCACAAGGTGAGTTCCTTTTTACTTCCTGCTTCTTCACACACATGCTCTCCAGTACAGGTTAGCTCTGAGTGTTAGCTATGCTAATGTAAACGCCGACCATATTACGTCCAAAACAGTCGGGCATTGTTTCTGATAGCAACTTTCTGATATTACGTCATAACGGACGAAATCTGGATCAGCTCCGTTGTTCCCCCGTTTTTAGAGATTTGGGTACGGAGGAAAAGAGAGAGGGTTTTATTTTCTGATGCTGTGTGAGTTCCCTGACACACCGGGGACACATAGTTATGTAGAAAAGACATCACAAAGTGCATTTTGCATGATAGGTCCCCTTTAAACAAAAAGAGAGTTGTCTATGGATTTCCATAACAATATCTTTAAAGTAGGGCTGTCAAGTTAACGCGTTAATAACGCCACTAATTATTTTAACGCGATTAACGCATGTGTATTTGTTGTCCTCGGCCGCCCCGTAGTTTCAGAGCGCATCGAGTTTAAAATACCATCTACAAGCTGATGCTGACAGCCCGCTCCTGCCGCCTGCTTGCGGCAGACCACACTTCCACGCTCACCGGCAGGCACCGACTGGCCATCGGGAGGACCGGGAGGGTGTGTGTGTGGCGCGAGCGAGAGAGAGAGAGAGAACGAGCACACCTTACGTGTATTGTTGTTGTTGTTGTTGTTAGCATCTGGTATTAAACACTTGAAAAATATCCCTCTAAGGTACATTTAGAACAGATAAAAAATGTAAGATTAATTTGCGATTAATCGCGATTAACTATGGACAATCATGCGATTAATCGCGATTAAATATTTGAATCGACTGACTGCCCTACTTTAAAGACATTGTTAGTTAAATTAAAAAAGATTAAAGAATGTTTTAAAGACTTTCCTTAAACGTGCCACCAGCCCAAAGTAAGTGTACAAAGTATAGACATTTAAAGGATGTTGTTAAACGGCTTAGTTGAATACTCGATTCTGATTGGTCAATTTGAACATTCCAGAGGACTGCTATTATTCGCTAACAGACCGTTGCTAAGGAGAACAGACCGTTGCTAAGGAGGCTCAGGGGACTATGTGCAGTCATATCAATCCGCAGAAAGAAGTCCGGTCGATTTAACGTCATCTGTAGACAACAACTATGAGTTTACTCCATCAGAAAACCTAGTGGATTACTTTTTGAATATTATTTTTTATATTTTTGGCGAGAACAAGACTTTTGATGAATGATGGCTAAACTGTTCTAAGTAAAGAGAAAGAGAAGAAGAGAGGGTAAAAGAAAGAGCACTGGAGGACAGAGAAATCAACAGAAGAAGACAGACAGGAAGTGAACAGTAACTAAAAGTGTTACCTCTTTAAGAAAAGAGACGGCTTACAATTCATCACAAAGCAAAGTGGGAGGTTCTAAAGCTTCAGGCCTTGATGTGGAAGAAAGGGAGCAAACACCAACCTCTGCTTAAAGCTACTGCTAACTGCAACTCTGAGCAGAAAAAGAGCTAGCGAGCAGTTAGCCCTTAGCACTACACAACAGAGCAGGATCATTTGTGGATTCAAGTAGCAAGAGTATTTCCTTTGCCTTTAGTCATGCTAGTGCCAGAGTCAAACTGAGAGCATCTGTAGCTAAAGGCTCCTCAGAAGTGTGGAGGACTTAAGATAGTTAGTGAGGAGAGGATTCACGTCCAGAACATCCAGTAAACACTTCTAATTGGCCTGCTTCCCTTTGCAGCTGCATGTTTCTGAAGGTATGCTATCAAATGGTAGATTATTGAACCAAATGCTCATTTTAAGCGATCATATTGTTCATTCTGATCCTGATGAGGACGTTTTAAAAACCCATGTTTCGTACTGTTTTGTTTGAATTCATGCTGGTGTGTGGAAACACACGCACAGCAATTGACATGTATTTTGCTCTGCTTGCTGTTCCTGGAAACACTTGCATAGATAAACATATTTTAGATTAAAGGTCACGATGATATTGCTCAAGCCTGTGTGTGTGTGTGTGTGTGTGTGTGTGTGTGTGTGTGTGTGTGTGTGTGTGTGTGTGTGTGTGTGTGTGTGTGTGTGTGTGTGTGTGTGTGTGTGTGTGTGTGTTGCTTGCATGTAATTGTCGCTCTGTGTGTGTATGTCTCTGTGTGTGTGTGTGTGTGTGTGTGTGTGTGTGTGTGTGTGTGGTGTGTGTGTGTGTGTGTGTGTGTGTGTGTGTGTGTGTGTGTGTGTGTGTTGCTTGCATGTAATTGTCGCTCTGTGTGTGTGTGTGTGTGTGTGTGTGTGTGTGTGTGTGTGTGTGTGTGTGTGTGTGTGTGTGTGTGTGTGTGTGTGTGTGTGTGTGTGTGTGTCCTCACCAGGCAGAGCTTGACACTCCTGCTGCTGCTGCTCCCACTGACAGTTAGTGTTCAGAGAGCAGCTCCTGCAGTTCAACAGTCTGAAACATTCCTGCTCCTCCCGCCGCTTACAGCTGGACGAGTCCTTCACCGACTACACACACACACACACACACACACACACACACACACACACACACACACACGAGTTATATGCAGAGTTATCAAAGTCAAATATGATAAAACATGGACCATAAATTCAACTCGTATGGAGAAAGTAGAGGATAAAAGTCCCTCTGACACGCACACTTATTATGATGTGTGAGTATTAATTGTTAACATATATATATATATATATATATACACAATAAGAGGCCGGTTAAACTCCATCACAGCTGTTCTGTTTTACTATAAATGCAGTGAAGGAATCAACACGATGACACTAGTGATGGTTGAAGGAAGTGTGATGGTTGAAGGAATCACAAAGAGAACATGCAGGGGGAGAAGACAAATATATTTGATTTAACTTTAGAGGCTTTGTCTTCCGTTAATGCTAGATTTGAAAATACTTGCATTGTTTTTAAAGCTCCTAATGACAAAGTCCCCAAAGTTGTTTTTTTATTTTTTTTATTTCCTTACGTATTCTTGGTTTTTATTACTATGTTTATTGACTCCCAACGTTATAGTAGTCTACAGTAGTACAGTATTCTAGTATTTGATTGATTGATTAATTGATTGATTGCTTGATTGATTAATTGATATGTGGTGCATGTAAATTAAAGTTCAAATTGACCACAAAGTTCTGTCTCCTAACAGCATTGTGTTATTTATTTGTTTCTAATCAAAGCCAAGTAAAGGTCGTTAGAGGAGGATACATCTGGATTGATATCAACCCTAATCTCCATAACACCTAAGGCCCTGCCCTGACCTCTGACCTCAACCTGCTGCAGCCTAACAGGAAGTGTCAAGTTTCAGATATAATACACACATGTCCCCTCCTCTTGGCTCCATGTTTCCACAAAGTCAGCTGATGCTCAGACAACATGGTCGGAGGGCGAGAAAGAGACAGAGCGCCGCCATGCTGCTGCGCCAGCTCCAGAGTCAGCTACACACACACACACACACACACACACACACACACACACACACACACACACACACACACACACACACACACACACACACACACACACACACACACACACACACACACACACACACACACACACACACACACACACACACACACACACACACACACACACACACACACCACACACACACACACACACACACACACACACACACCACACACACACACACACACACAGATTCATATTTAACCCCAGCCAAGCAGACGAAAGCAGCATGCAGACACACACACACACACCGAGAAAGACAGAGAAAGCAGGTTGGGAGTAAAAGTAGACAAAAAGAGACACAGAGGAAACAAGATGAGCAAAAGGACAGAACAGATATTCATACACTTTCATATTTGTATGTACACAAACAGGTGATTATTGGAAAATGAACCCTTAATGCAGATCTTAAAGGACTTATTCACTGCACATTATCCCACTAACTAACTGGCTTTCATGCATTTACACAAGCCCGTTGGTTAACTCCTGTGAAAATAGAATAAAATAGAACCGCAAAGCTAAAGGGGGCTAATGTTGTGCTATAAAGGAACTACAGCACGGTCACATGACTTCACGTCACCACCGCTAAGCTAAAGGCGGCTAATGTTGGGCTATAAAGGAACTACAGCACGGTCACATGACTTCAGGTCACCACCGCTAAGCTAAAGGAGGCTAATGTTGGCCTATAAAGGAACTACAGCACGGTCACGTGACTTCATGTCACCACCGCTAAGCTAAAGGGGGCTAATGTTGGGCTATAAAGGAACTACAGCACGGTCACGTGACTTCACGTCACCACCGCTAAGCTAAAGGGGGCTAATGTTGGGCTATAAAGGAACTACAGCACGGTCACATGACTTCACGTCACCACCGCTAAGCTAAAGGAGGCTAATGTTGGGCTATAAAGGAACTACAGCACGGTCACATGACTTCACGTCACCACCGCTAAGCTAAAGGCGGCTAATGTTGGGTCATAAAGGAACTACAGCACGGTCACATTACTTCACGTCACCACCGCTAAGCTAAAGGCAGCTAATGTTGGCTATAAAGGAACTACAGCATGGTCACATGACTTCACGTCACCACCGCTAAGCTAAAGGCGGCTAATGTTGGGTCATAAAGGAACTACAGCACGGTCACATGACTTCACGTCACCACCGCTAAGCTAAAGACGGCTAATGTTGGCTATAAAGGAACTACAGCATGGTCACATGACTTTACGTCACCACCGCTAAGCTAAAGGTGGCTAATGTTGGGCTATAAAGGAACTACAGCACGGTCACACGACTTCACGTCACCACCGCTAAGCTAAAGGTGGCTAATGTTGGGCTATAAAGGCACTACAGCACGGTCACATGACTTCACGTCACCACCGCTAAGCTAAAGGAGGCTAATGTTGGGCTATAAAGGAACTACAGCATGGTCACATGACTTCACGTCACCACCGCTAAGCCAAAGGTGGCTAATGTTGGGCTATAAAGGAACTACAGCACGGTCACATGACTTCACGTCACCACCGCTAAGCTAAAGGTGGCTAATGTTGGGCTATAAAGGAACTACAGCATGGTCACATGACTTCACGTCACCACCGCTAAGCCAAAGGTGGCTAATGTTGGGCTATAAAGGAACTACAGCACGGTCAGATGACTTCACATCACCACCGCTAAGCTAAAGACGGCTAATGTTGGCTATAAAGGAACTACGGCATGGTCACATGACTTCACGTCACCACCGCTAAGCTAAAGACGGCTAATGTTGGCTATAAAGGAACTACAGCATGTTCACATGACTTCACGTCACCACCGCTAAGCTAACCGAGGCTAATGTTGGGCTATAAAGGAACTACAGCACGGTCACATGACTTCACGTCACCACCGCTAAGCTAAAGGCGGCTAGTGTTGGGTGTGATGATGTTTAGTCGTCTCATTTAGACACTGTTTTTGAATTCACCAGTGGGGTACTGACGTATTTTATACTGTGTTAACCACGGACCTTATTTCAGGCTAACAACCAAAAACAAATTCAGAAAACCATTGACTTCAAGGGGACAGGAAGTGGTAATGTTCAGCCTAAGGCGATCTATGGTTGTTTTGTGTTTCCAGTTTCCTCTCGTACTCACCACGGTGCAGTTGCTGGCTGCAGAGAGGCACTTCCTGTCTTCACACCACTGGCAGTTTCGTGTGTTAGCGGTGCAGCTCGCACAGTCCGAGAACCGGAAACACTGCTCGTCTGTACTCTCTGCGCACGCGCACACACACACACACACACACACACACACACACACACACACACACACACACACAATTTAGCATATTAAAAGCTATATTTCGGTTGTTATGTAGTGGTATAATAATTACATTTCTTAATGCTTCTTCGTAGTCAGAGAATGAGGAGTAAATCACAGCATGATACAGGCAACATTGAGCAGTAGGAGTATTTTCAGGAAAAACCTAGTCTAGATTTTACCCGTCAGGGACAGGTTGTTTGTCATTACTCAACACTGCATATCAGAACAACCTATAATGTGTGTTGTCTACACTTAATACTCTTCAGTTTGCAGTTAACTCTCTTTGACAGGTAACATTTTTCACTCCTACAGTACATCTCACTTTAAAGAGATTTCTTCTTGACGTACACAGCAGAAGAACAGATCTAACCATCTGCTGGGATTTAACGTGTACTGATCACTAGGCAGTAATCATACGCAACTGATGAACGTTTTTAAAGATCTAACAAGTGTTGAGTCAGTGAGTCTAGAAAGCTTGGGAATCATCATGGGAATGTTCCTCAGAATATCTGCTGCATGCCAGGGAGTTTTCTGCATGTGGCGGCCATGTGTACGAGAGTTCATGAAGTGTAAACAAGCATGTAATCACCGTGTTTAGATTAAACAGGTATTCAGCAGTTATGTGATTATGCAGCTTGGTTTCTCTCTGGTCATGTGTGCATGCGATGCTGTCATTTGTAGAATAAACAGGTGAGATTAAAGCAGAGGCCAGACTGCATGTACAGTAAAGTCCTTTAAATGGGATTAAGAATGAAAAACAAAACCTGTGCCGTCCATTAGAGACAATCCATGTGTTCTATTGTTCTATTTAATAACAACAACTCAACCATTAGCATGATTGCTTTTTATTCAAAAGATATGCAGAGGAGCCTGAAGCAGAAACCTGGAAACGCTGCAGTCGTGTGTGTGTGTGTGTGTGTGTGTGTGTGTGTGTGTGTGTGTGTGTGTGTGTGTGTGTGTGTGTGTGTGTGTGTGTGTGTGTGTGCGTGTGTGCATGTATGTGTGTGTGTGTGTATGTGTGTGTGCGTGATACCACAGTTTGGAGCTGAGAGGGGAATATGGCTTTTTTTTCTGGGTGGATTGCCTGAAAAGTGTGTGTGTGTGTGTGTGTGTGTGTGTGTGTGTGTGTGTGTGTGTGTGTGTGTGTGTGTGTGTGTGTGTGTGTGTGTGTCTGTGTGTGTGTGTGTGTGTGTGTGTGTGTGTGTGTGGTTACACTGGACCTAATTACTTCAAAATGAGGTAATTGTTGCAGCGTTGACCTTCTATGAGAATAATGATGGTATGCAAACAGACTTCAGAAGCCATATCCTTCAGAATAATAATTATTCTTATGAAAAAACAAAAAAGGGTCTTCTGGGAACAGCACTTATGCAGAAGGGAAATATGTTGACGTGGCATGGGGGGAAATATTTACAAAGATGGCAATATAATAATGATCCGGAGAGTGTGACGTACCGGGTTTTTCAGGGCAGAAAGGAGCGGGGAAATCGATTTCAGGTGATTTTGGTTCCCAGATGACACATGTGCTTTCTTTGACCCATTCACAGCGAAGACCCGGCCCAGCAGAGGCACACGAAGCTGGGGTAGAAAAGGCCAGGCAGGAGGGGGGGGTGAACGCCAGCACGTCGTTCAAAAGGACGCCGGAAAAACCTCCGAAGATGTACATGGAGCTGGAGAAACAGAGAGGGTTATCAGAAGGGAAACAGAAGCATGTACAAAGGGGAGAGGAGTGTGTTCTATAGGTTTTAGTGCATGTAAATGGTCTGCAAAGGATAAAATCACCGTGTTTCTCTTATGTTTCTACCTGAAAATGAGCACAATATGTGGCAACACCTTAGTGATATATAAAACGTTTGCAAGACCTTCATCACGATGTACGATGATATACTGCTGAACTATAAAATAATGGTTTAAACCTGTAACACCTATGACACACAAGAAAGTCAACTTTGAGCACAAAATGTCAGCTTTCAACTTCAAACGACCGAAACTGAATCAAAGTTCAGATTTATCTTTGAAAGCTTCTCCTGCTGTCTTCATTTTTTCTTCATTCGCCCTTATCTCTGCGGGCATTTCCTCCTGTGTGTTTCTTTTTAAGAATAGGATCCATTTTGTGTTTATCAGTATGTAGTGTCTCTACTTTAAAGAGTCCTCTCCTGCTGATGTTCAGGTGTATATCAGTATGTAGTGTCTCTACTTTAAAGAGTCCTCTCCTGCTGATGTTCAGGTGTATATCAGTATGTAGAGTCTCTACTTTAAAGAGTCCTCTCCTGCTGATGTGCAGGTGTATATCAGTATGTGGTGTCTCTACTTTACTTTAAAGAGTCCTCTCCTGCTGATGTTCAGGTGTATATCAGTATGTAGTGTCTCTACTTTAAAGAGTCCTCTTCTGCTGATGTGCAGGTGTATATCAGTATGTAGTGTCTCTACTTTAAAGAGTCCTCTCCTGATGATGTTCAGGTGTATATCAGTATGTAGTGTCTCTAATTTAAAGAGTCCTCTCCTGCTGATGTTCAGGTGTATACATGTATCAGTTAGTGTCTCTACTTTAAAGAGTCCTCTCCTGCTGATGTTCAGGTGTATATCAGTATGTAGTGTCTCTACTTTAAAGAGTCCTCTCCTGCTGATGTTCAGGTGTATATCAGTATGTAGTGTCTCTACTTTAAAGAGTCCTCTCCCGCTGATGTTCAGGTGTATATCAGTATGTAGTGTCTCTACTTTAAAGAGTTCTCTCCTGCTGATGTTCAGGTGTATATCAGTATGTAGTGTCTCTACTTTAAAGAGTCCTCTCCTGCTGATGTTCAGGTGTATATCAGTATGTAGTGTCTCTACTTTAAAGAGTCCTCTCCTGCTGATGTCCAGGTGTATACATGTATCAGTTAGTGTCTCTACTTTAAAGAGTCCTCTCCTGCTGATGTTCAGGTGTATATCAGTATGTAGTGTCTCTACTTTAAAGAGTCCTCTCCTTCTGATGTTCAGGTGTATATCAGTATGTAGTGTCTCTACTTTAAAGAGTCCTCTACTGCTTATGTTCAGGTGTATATCAGTATGTAGTGTCTCTACTTTAAAGAGTCCTCTCCTGCTGATGTTCAGGTGTATATCAGTATGTAGTGTCTCTACTTTAAAGAGTCCTCTCCTGCTGATGTCCAGGTGTATATCAGTATGTAGTGTCTCTACTTTAAAGAGTCCTCTCCTGCTGATGTTCAGGTGTATATCAGTATGTAGTGTCTCTACTTTAAAGAGTCCTCTCCTGCTGATGTTCCAGGTGTATATCAGTTCAGTTAGTGCTACTTTAAAGAGTCCTCTCCTGCTGATGTTCAGGTGTTATATCAGTAGTGTCTCTACTTTAAAGAGTCCTCTCCTCTGATGTTCAGGTGTATATCAGTATGTAGTGTCTCTACTTTAAAGAGTCCTCTACTGCTATGTTCAGGTGTATATCAGTATGTAGTGTCTTACTTTAAAGAGTCCTCTACTGCTTATGTTCAGGGTGTATATCAGTAGTAGTGTCTCTACTTTAAAGAGTCCTCTCCTGCTGATGTCCAGGTGTATATCAGTATGTAGTGTCTCTACTTAAAGAGTCCTCTCCTGCTGATGTTCAGGGTATATCAGTATGTAGTGTCTCTACTTTAAAGAGTCCTCTCCTGTGATGTCCAGGTATATCAGTATGTAGTGTCTCTACTTTAAAGAGTCCTCTCCTGCTGAT